AGTATCAGGGGTGATTTGTGACAGAAGCACAGCAGCAAGAGTGAAGGGCAAGGTTTATAGGATGATAGTGAGACCTGCTATAAACAGGTTGCAACATAAAGACAGAGGATATCAGAGGACGGCTCAGACCGAGCAGTCGGGAGGCAAAGTTGGAGAAGCAAGGCTGAGATGTTTTGGGCATCATTTTGGATGATGTTGATCTGACAGACTGGAGAAAAAGAGGAAGATGTAGTAGTGAAAGAGGATATGCAAAGGACGTGTGTTTTGGAGGAGGAGTCTAGAGTTTGGGTGAAATGGAGGCAGAAGATTTGCTGTGCTGACCCCTAAACGCAGCAGAGCAGTCAAAAGAAGAAGAATCTCTTCAAGAAAACATGACCCTATTTAGGTAAAATGCAAATGAAGCTTCGGTTATGTCCCTTAAAATTGAATTTTCAAATCAAATTTCTGGCCCTGACAGAGAATCACACTTCCTTCCTTCCTAGCATGTCATGTAGCAGGTTTACCACAACTATACATTCATTTGAGAGTCTAGTGGGGTGATTGATTTTCAAAGAGTAGTTAAATATTTTCCAGTGAATATCTGTCTATCCAGTACTTTTGGCTCTAAATGGACATTCTTAGTTGGTAGTAAACCTTTTGGTAGATGTTAGTATTGAAATAACTGCATCACTGTGTTGTTTTGCCCTCTCGTGAGCAAAAACATGGTATGAACCTGAAGGTTTTCTCATAAAATAAGAGTCGGATCCAATTTGAACACCAATATGTGCCTCACTTTTGATTGTGAGAGAGGGTCCAGTTATTGTTATTTATTTGCTTGACCACAAAAGCATCATATCTACTGCATGTCTGAGGCAAATGTAGAAATAAGCCATAACCGTCTCTCAGTAGTTGGACTCATATATTGAAGTTTTGAAAAAGAAAAAAAAAGAACACCATCTTCTTGTAACAGTTGGTTGCAAATATTTTCTTACTTTTGAAATGGATAAAGAAACAAAGTTTTGTTCCGCTCCACAACTTTGTTTTCCTGCTTCCAGATGCTAGCAAGGATCACATTGACTTATCTCATTTGCAACAAATTGCTGGTTTTCCTTTCAAAGGGCAAACGAAGGAGGAATGCTGCAGACAAAACAGATGTTTTGTGGCACACAACCATTCTCACTCAGTCTGCATCTTCTCCGTCTCTCTCGCAGCCACTTGTGCATAAATACATACACGCGTTCAGTCTATGAATTGCCATCATCGCTTCTTATATTATAACACACTACAATCACGTTCAAGTCCTGTCAATGTCAATAACCCTCTAGTTTGAGTGAGGCTATCATTGTTTCAATGAGGGAGGCTTGAAAGGATACAGCAATCAGAAGCCATCAATTGCACTGGTAACATCAGAAATGCCTTTGATCGCTGTTGAAGGTCTGTTGAAGAAAGGATAGCAGCATACTCTCACCTTTGCTGCTGGAAAACTTTTATCTTGATATGCTTTGACTGAGCGGTTTGCACCATTGTGCCCTTCAAGGAAAGGCAACAGTCAGTTAAAGAAACAAACCAGCTAAGATTTTGGAAATTAATTATTTATTGTT